AGAGAGAGAGAGAGAGAGAGAGAGAGAGAGAGAGAGAGAGAGAGAGAGAGAGAGAGAGAGAGAGAGAGAGAGAGAGAGAGAGAGAGCAGGCAGATGTACTTTTCTTTGCGAAATAACATAGAGCGTGGTTGGTAAGAGTTGTGGCTTCTTGAGTAGTGCATAAAGCTGCAGACATAAGAGGGACAAAGATTCTCGAGATTGTGCTATTTTTCTTCCTGTCCTCCTTTTGTTCTATTTCCCTTTTCTCCTTCTCTTTCTGCTGCTTCCGTTTTCTGCTTACCCCTCTTCTATCTTCCCTCTTCCACCTTTCACTTCTTCCACGTTTGCCTTTTGCTATCTCTTTCTTCTTCCGAATTTGTGTGACTCTCTCTCTCTCTCTCTCTCTCTCTCTCTCTCTCTCTCTCTCTCTCTCTCTCTCTCTCTCTCTCTCTCTCACACACACACACATCCATGTTGAGTCTGTTGGTCTGTTTGAGTCTGTGCAATTCTCTTCTCAGTACTTTGAGCCCGTTTTGACAACGTTTTGAGTCTGTTTAAGTCTGTGTGAGCTGAGCAGTTCGTTAGATGTTTTCCGTTGTTTCTTTTTTTTGTTTTGTTTCGTTTTTGCGCGGGCATTGCCCGGACTGCCCGCAGCGCGGGCGCTAAGCTAGTGTTTATGAGGGAGGGTGCGGCTGCTGTCAATGCAAGTTGTATTGGCGGGATCTACACGGAACCACTCACGATTGATCTTCAGGTTTTTTTCTACAGCGCACTTGCGTGAGGTGTGATAGTATGGAGTGTCCCTTTCACCCTCGAGACTACCTGTGAGAGGCCATTTGAGGGCTCAATAGTTTGGTCTCACCATTGGGCACGGCTCGCTGGAGACTGTGAGTTTGGTCATGGTCCGGCGATCTTCATTGTTTGACCTTACGCTGAGATGGTGTAGTATGTCCATGATGCCGTTGAGATGCTATGAGCTGATGAAGGGGGAGCCGATGAAGGGAGAGGTGAGGTTTTGAGGGGGAAGGGAGGTGTTGGATGGGGCATCGCTAGTGTGTGGTGTAATCTTCTTGTTGGCTTTAGGAAGTGCATTTGGATGGCCTGCCTTGCTGGAAATTTTTACGGTTATCTGTGAAAACTCCCACGGATTATTCAAATTTTGTGAATACGTAATGTCGTTTGTTGTTCTAGTTCTGTCCTTGCTTCATATCGTGATCTAGTTTTGTTGATGCTATGTTGCATACACACATTATTTGTTTGATTCCTGATTGTTT